GTGCGATCAATACTCACACCTTTGGCCGTGACTAACGATGGATTTTCGCGATTCGAGATTGTTTAGATGGGTTTTTCTATTTTTTAGTATTTTTTATGGGTTAATTTAGTAAAGGGTAGTTTCGTAATTTTACGTTTTGATGTTTCCTAATCCTAGTAGGGCTTCGTTTGGGGTTATATAAACTTGTTTTAAGGTTTCTTTTCAGCAAACTTGGATATTTTTGATTTGATAATCATATTTGGAGGACGAATTGTTCTTCTGACGAATTTTCTTGTTCAGTCAATTTTTCTATCGCACTTCGACATCAATTTCCTTATTCGCTACTCGCGAGAAATTCCTTCTTTGATTTTGTTGGACCTGGGAACATACTGCATTATATATAGATCAAGTGCATCATTGAGTCTTCTCCTTTTCCATGTACAAGCTGTCCTAAGATTCATCTATTCATGGTTTGAACTTCATTATATCTTCCAGACTGATTCAACGCATCCCATCAACACATAAGATACTACCCATGAGGCGCATGGTCTGATTCTAGGGCAATGAGTAGAAGTTGAAATAATAAACTGTGTATATGTGGGTACAATTTCTTGGATTGTATAACACACACCCAAAAATGGACACGACATATTGGGCCAATTATCCCTTAACGTAAAAACTCGACCATAGTTTATGTCGGAATTCACCACGGCGACCCTTTGATTAATAACCTTGTACAAGTGGAAGCATGCTCATAGGAGAACTTAATATGTGTGATCATTTGGTTTATACTTTGCAACGATCCTTGTTTTCAATTTAGGCCACGCTGGACGATATTTGCTGAGAACTTCTACCAGTTGTTAGAAGTTCAAGTCATTGACAGCCGGCGAAGGCACTGTCGATACTGTCTGCTGGGATTCTAACGGCGGGCGTTTGGCATCTCTGAGAGATGATTCGGTTTAAATGTGGAAAATTGGCTCCAGCACCAATGCGGAATGTGTTTATGAGTTGATCTCTGTCGTTAACAAGTTCCAAGCATGCGTCTTTCATCCCACTCATCCTTCTGCAGTAATCATCGGCTGTTCTGAGGCAAGTCATTGCTCTTTCTTCTTTCCCACTTCGTTAGCTAGTTGTAACAACCACGGAAACTGGAAGTTGGACTGACCAATATGAGCAATGCATGGGGTGTGCATGCCTACTTTGAAGGCCCTGGAAAATACTTCCTACAATTCAGAAGTATCATCTTCTTTGTCCCCGGGTGATGAAACCGTTCTTTTTTTTCTGATGCGGAGACATTTGTTATCAGAATCTGGAGATTTGGGATATTGCAGAGAACAAGAAAGTGACCCTTCATGCGCACGATGAACCAATATCTTGCCCAGCTGCATCCAAGTGTTAACGGCCTTATTGCTTCCGCTAGTAGCAATTGTTGAGAAAACCCCTTCTGCGTTTTGAAGTTGACAAAATTATCCGTGGTTTATTTTGATCTTGATAAATGCAAGAGTTGTTTGTATTTCAAGTTGTATCCGCGTTGAACAAGATCATTGATATAATTGATAAAAAGATTCTAATTGACTTGAAGAAGCTACGTGGGGCACACTTAATCTTAGATATACTAAAGTGTTGAGTCTACATCAATATCGTAATCGGAGTATTTCTAGGAGAGTAGTAAGGGCCCTTTTGGTTCAATTTAGGGGAAAGTTTTTGGTAAAATGCAAAGGCCTTTGGGTTAAAGGGGTTTTCTGAAATGCAAGTAGTGTTTGGTAAAGGCCCCGTTTGGTTCAGCATTTGGGGAACGGAAAGCCGAAAGCTAGCATTTGGAATGCTGAAGCTTATTTTTCCCTTCCCAAATTGCCCTCACTCAAATTTCTTTATTCTGGTTTTGCCCCTGTTACTGTTCATCTTCTTCACCGCGAGGATGGCCGGCGAAGGGCCGGGGAGAGCAGATCTGGCCAGCAAAGGGCCGGCGAGGTCGCCCGACCCAGGCAACGGCCGCCTGGGGTCGGGCGACCGCCCAGGTGATGGCCGCTTGGGTCGCAACCCAGGCCGACGTCGCCTGAGGTCGCGCGACCCAGGCGACGGCACCTGGGCGGTCGCCCAACCCCAAGCGGTCGTCACCTGGGTCGGGCGACCTCGCCGGCTAGATCCGCCCTGGCCGGCCCTTCGCCGGCCACCACCCTCATGGTGAAGAAGATGAACAGTAATAGGGGCAAAATTAGAATGTTAAAAATAAAAATTGCCAAAGCCCTTTGCAAAAAAACATTTACCAAACACTATTTAGGCCAAAGTAGCTTCACAAATTTTTTTTTACCAAACACCACTTGCATTTTCCCAAGTGACTTTCACCTAAAGGTATTTGCATTCTCCCAAATAGCATTTGAAAAGCCGAACTAAACGGGCCCAAAGTGTATTTTAAAATCATATTTGAAAGCAACTTTGACCTAAATACCATTTGGTAACAACTATATTTTGTAAATGATTTTTGCTAATATTTTTTTTAACAAAAAGTTTGAGGTGGAGCTCAGCCACTAGCTGGCCAAAATGGTCGCCGGCCAACCGCCAACAGCCAGATCTGGCCACTCGACCTTAAGCGAGGCTACCTGAGGTCGCGTGACCTCAAACGTCGCTTGGGGTCCCGCCCAGGCGATGCCACCTGAGGTCAGACCCGGGCAATAGTCGCTTGAGATCACGCGACCGAGGCCAACGCTTGCTTGAGTTGTGCGACCTCAAGCATCGCCTGGGTCGCGCAACCCAGGCGACACCTGAGGTCAGGCAACCTCAGCCAGCGTCCCCTGGGTCACGCGACCCAAGCCACAGTCACCTGGGGGTCTCGCGACCCAGGTGACCGCCGCCTGGGGTCATGCAACCTAGGCGACCCCAGTAGGCGATTGTCGGGGTCGCACGACCCCTCAAGCGGCGATTGCTGACCTCCAGACCTGCTGCTTTGGGTAAATCAGGGAAGATCTGACCAAAAAAAAAATCGGGGAAGATGAAGAGTGAACTTGCATTCCAAAAATGTGACTTGCCAAAATGCTTCCGGACCTGCTTTAGACTAAAGTCCTTTGGAAGCCTTTGAAAATGCAATTATATTTCCCCAAAGTACTCCCAAAAAATTAACAAACACTATTTGGATTTGGCCCCTTGCAAATGCTGAATCAATCAGGCCCTAAGTCATCTCTCAAGTCAACTACATCAATGTCGTACTAGTAGAGTAGGTACGTGATGGTGTATATTTTTTAGAAATGGGGTGCGACAAATACATAATCTCGTTATGTTCGCACTATCAATCTGACTCCTCCAGAGTTAAACCCAAGTTAGCGGACGATGTCTTTTAACTTAGGCTGTCACACTGTTGGATAGGATTCTTTCACATGGTATGAATACGGTACGACGAGTAATACGAATTACAGATAGAAAATCCGAATCCAATCTAACACAAAACGCTTGACCGTGTATTGACATGAATTTATATGTTTTCACTATGACTCAATAATTTAGCCTATTAAATCAAAATTATGATGATTAATACTAAGCCCAGCTGAGGCGAAACAATGAACTTAATAATTACAGGCCGAAACGAATTGTCAGACCATTTAACTTAATGATATCCAAAGTAAGGGTATACCCGGTTGACCAATTCATTGAATACACAAAAAAACAACTTTAAAATGCGATTCAGTAATAGTTGGATCAAGAAAAATAAGGCATATATAACTTTAATGAACTAGACTGGAAACCGTATGTTGCTTTAGGCTCCGTTTGTTTTGCGAAAAATGAATGATTTTAAAAAATATTTTCTTAAAAGTAATTGCTTGTATCACTTGAAATAATTAGTCAATGGAAAATGTTTTCATTATCTACTACAATTTATGTGTAGACATTTTCATGGATGATAAAATATTTTTCAAATCATTCATTTTTCGCAAAACAAACGAAGCGCCAATATCCAATTTAAGGAGAATACGCTATACAACCATTTGGACGAAACAAAATGGGCATATAGAGGTTCGATTCGATTTTTATCTTTGAGATGACAAACTGTTGATTGCTCTTAACCAATTGATTCTTAGGAAATGAGCCCGACAACATTTGACTTTTTGTGTATGTTCTTAATGGGGTTTGACATATATTACGCCATCTCTCTTGACAACAACTAATCACACATTAGGAAGCCATTTTTCCCAATTATGGCAGATCTCTCATTGTAACTTAACTTATCGAACGTTGCCGGCCGTGTCATTACTAGAATGGGCGATTCTAGAAGTTAATTGACGCTATTATATAAGTCGTGTGGAATCTCGAGTACGAAATTAATTCAAAAGGAAAAGGGTCAGAAGAAAATTGACGATTATTCTGTCGTTACTGAAGTTTTGCCCCACAAAAGTGGGTGCATGCCCAACTCACCTAATATTTTCTCCTGATTCAGGCCCCCCGCCACCCCCCCCACAGATTCTTCAAGCATCTCTTCTTGCTAGCTCAGACTCGTCTACTTTGATTCCCCGTTTGTCTTTAATGAGCCATTCCCTCATTCGTACACGTACTAGGATTGGCTCGATTTATGCATACCGACATGATCATCGCCATCGAACGTGCCGGCTCTATAACTGGGGCCGCGTGATCGGCGGATACGATGAATTTTAATCTAACATAGACCGAGTCGGGTGTAAGAACTTCTCGTTGAGCATGCACCGAAATTCGCGGGACGCGAGAAATTCCGGTGCAAGACTAGCTCCGCGATAGCCGAGAACGTTTCTTTTAACCAAGGAGAAGAACTGTGGGTACTCGGGACTTACATGGCGGATGTAGAAAACGCTAATCAGTGAAGAATTTGTGCAAAGAAATCATCATTCCATCAGAGCTAATACTGTCTTGGCCCAAAGAGAAAAGAACAAAAATTCGAAAGTGATTCAGTAATGGTTTAATCAAGGAGCAGCATGCGTCATTGATGACGCTGCTAAAGAATTTATATAATCATATGTGTCTATGTAATTGTGTTCGCAGGTATATCGCTCTTATATGTGCACGGAAGCATCGCCACTTCTGAAGCTCGTTGAAAAGGGCCAAGCAACTGAGCATAGCCATTTCGGAAGGAAAAAAACCGACATCTACCGAAATGGCTTCTGATAATCCTACTGAGCATCAGCTTCCGAAAGTAGATTTCTCCGCCTCCGATTTGAGCCCGGGAAGCGTCTCTTGGGACTTGGTCCGTGGTGACGTCGTGGCCGCGCTCGAAGAGTACGGATGCTTCGAGGCGGTGTGCGATCAGCTCTTCGACTGGGAGCTTCACTTGAGCCTCTTTCGAGCCGTGACACAGCTGTTTGAGCTGCCGGAAGAGACTAAGAGAGGTTTCGCAGATGCCAAGAGACCGTACGACGGCTACGTCGCGAACCTCCATTTTGCTCCAGGGTATCAGGCCATGGGGATCGGTGGAGTCCTTGACTCTCCGGCGATTCGGGACTTCACGGATCTCATGTGGCCTGACGGGAATGCGAAGTTCTGGTACTTTTCGACTTCATGATTTTGTTCTTACTCTTCTTGCCACTTTTTCCTACACGCCCTTTGATGCCCTCGAGAGAAGCTCAAGTATAGTTTTGATCTTTCAAGTTGGTCAACTTCGACTTCATTTGAAAATGCAAGGACACTCACAACTACTTTTACTTAGTATTTGTATAAGTATATTTTTCAAATCAAGGGTTCTTTCACCTAAAAAATGGGCACTAACAAATTAAAATACCATTTCACTAGCATAGGACCGAAATTCAGAAATATGTCGACCTAGTTCATCACTAATTCGCTTCGGCTTGATCGACACAGCGAGATTGTGCAGTCCTATTCATCGAAGGAATCAGAACTAGAGAAGATGGTGAAGAGAATGATCCTGGAGGGCTTGCAATTGCCGGTAGAAAAATATCGCGACGATGTCATCGAGAAGACGAGCTATTTCCTCCGGATAATGAAGTACGACGCGCTCGAGGAAGAAGGGACTGAGGAAGTCGGCGGAATCAATCATTGCGACTCGAACTTCATGACCATTCTTCGTCAGGAGGGAGCGGTAAACGGCCTGGAGGTCAAGGCCAAGGATGGCCAGTGGATTAGGGCAACTACTTCAGCTTCCTCCTTCATAGTCATACTGGGAGATGCAATCCATGTGAGTAGATAACACTTCATTTCTCTCTCTCTCTCTCCTCTTCTTTAGTTTCTGCATTGTGAGTAGTTTCCATTCGATCCGCTTGCTGCGAAAACTGGTTGTTTTCCCACAAATGTTACATCAGGTTGAGAAGTTATGACTCTGCTACGTATAGGGATGGTCCAATGGGAGATTGTACAGTCCGGTACACCGGGTGGTGATGACCGGGACTCGAGCAAGGCATTCCCTAGGCCTTTTCTCGACGATCAAAGGCGTGATCCGGTGCCCCGGGGAGCTGGTCGACGAACAGCACCCCTTGCTTTTCAAGCCCTTTGAAGAAATCGATCTCGTGCGACATCATCGCATACTCGAGACCGAAGAAGGTTGGGAGCTTGAGTCGACTCTTAGAGCTCGTTCTCTTTTGTGAGGGAGAAAACTAGTTCTTGGTTTGATTTCTTTTCCTGCTTTCATTGTATGCATGGGAGGTTCGAGATGAAAGATTTCTATATTGTACCGTCAATTTCTGATCAATATCTTTCGAGATTGTGTACGTCATGATATCATCTATATAATTAAAAAGGGTAGTGCTATAATTGTTTTTTGGACCATTTAAGTGCCATGATTTCTAAAAATAAACGTTGACTCAAGTGCCGTAATTTTTAAAAAACGTTTACTCAGGCGCGAAAAATCCAACGTGACATAGCAATTGTAGTAAACGTTTTTAATAAGTTATGGTACCGTATGATCAATCGAAAAGTTATATGACACTTAAGTAATCAGAAGAAAGGTTAAAAAAAAGTTGTGACACTCAAGTAAGCGTTGTACGAAAGTGATGATATTTGCGGGCACTTGCGATGTCATTTTTCCTCATTTCCTCGCATCAACTAGGATAAACTATCTTTTACAAACTAGATGAAAGCAACGAAAACAAAAAAAAATTATTCCAATCAATCTACCACCTGCTAAAGTAATGATTCAACGACGCTTATTTTTTCTTGTTTGATCGAAAAACTTAGTAGAATTTATAGATAGTTTTCGTATATTATCGTATTATCGAAATAGAAAGTCTAATTATACGATCATATCGCCGAAATAAAATTAGCCGGATGGACTCAATTGGTACAAATGCAAAAGGTTTATGACTAAACTGGCCCAATTGAAATGTTTATGACTGAATTGGCACCAATGCAATAAATGTAGGATTTTTTTGGTACTGTCCCCTCAATATTTACGGAGCCAACATTGAAATTATCATTTTTGTAATAACATATTGAAAAATAGGTGGGCCAACTAAATGGAACGAAGGGACGATGGAGTTGTAATCGTGCACCCTTGTGAGTGGAGCTTGGTGGCGTCGTAAAGAGTGAGTGATGCAGAAGTGATGAATACAACTAGTTCGTGGGAGTGGTGTCAGGGCGGTTTGTGTTAAGAGTTTTAAGTTCGAATGAATATACCCTTAGGAGCTTTAAAGGCGGGATTGGCCTCCTGTGCACAAACTGGTCATGAGCTGATACCGCTCTCCTGATGAGGCCATGGCAAACCGAAACCACTTGTTGTGTCTAAAGTGTTCTCCATGTCTCGCTCGAGAGACTGGATGCCCGAGCTTAGCCAGGCATGATACAATCCGATACGAGAATGTTATTCGCCATACTATTTTTTAGGAACAACTATAGAAGGAAGGCTGGCCTTGGGGTCTTCTTGACTTGCTAGGCGTCGCACAGGCTAATTCCACGGCCAGGGAACTACTGGCCCATGACACATACTTCTTGGTGAAAGATATATGTTCGATAGATTAACTTGTAAAAAAATCGATTTACAAAGTTATGCGATGATCTTTGAGTCTTTCAATAAATGAGTTGTTGTTTAAGCACCCAAATGGTATTTATCTCAAGCATTATTTTTACTTCTTCACACCTTCAACAAACTATCGTTTTGTCATCCGTTGCACCCGCTGCCCAGATATTCTGGCTCTGCCACTGCTCCCGGGACTCAGTCCGGCACAATGTGATGACCGCAGTCGAAGGATACAGATGTTTCGAGGCGATGTTCGGTCATCAGTTCGCGACGGAGCTTCAGACAAGCCGCTTTGAAGCCATGGAACAAGTGTTCGGTCTCCCCAAAAGAGACCATGTAACGTCGTGTCGACCCCAAAAGGCCAAGTGCCGGCTTTCTCGAGAAGCAGCTTCATTCCCCGGCTTTCTCAAGCCATGAACATCTCCGGAGTCCTCAGATCTCCGGCGATTCGGGACTTTGCTAATCTCATGTGGCCCGACGAGAACACGGCACTCTGGTACTTTATCCTGGTCAAGTGGTCATGTGCTTGTTACCTAAGCAATTCTACTTGATAGTTGTTGGCCGGTCATTCATTACAGTGTCGCGATTGTTCCCGTGAAGTGAGACTCGGCTGTGTTTTTCATGGAGTAGTATCGGAACTAGAGAGAAGGTGGTGGAGAGAACGATCCTCGAGGGCTTGCGAGTGGATAAACATGGTGACGACTTCATCGAAAGGACGAGTGATCGAGTTAAATCGATACAGTGCCGGGGTCGACTCAACTCTGCTCGCGTACTCAGCGATCAAGTAAAAAGGGCTGGTGCGCGGATCTTTATTGGAACCTATCTCTTATCGGTGTCCTTTTTCCTAAGAAGAAAAGGCTGAGAACTTAGATCTGACATGGATACCGGTTTGTCCATAAGAGAAATTTCAAGGAACGATGACAATGTAACATGAAATACTCTTCTCAAACGTTTGGCTACGTAAGTAGACTCCAGAAATTACCTACCAATAAAGAGAAGTCACGGATTTGACTTGCAATTGCATGAATAAGTCGAATTACGCGTCTGTATTTCCAACGTTAACGGGACAATTGTCTCGACATCTTCAGACACTTGCTCCAGAACAATCGCTTTATTCCGAAGTACTCTGTTCTTTGTACCGACAATTACTCGCTAAATGAACCAAGACGAACAGAAATTGATAGGGAAAATGTTCATGCAAAAACGAGGACAAGAGTAATTGCAGCATTCAGACTAGCAAACACTTATGCCATTGCCTGCAGTACTGACAAAATTTGTGTTACAGAGTGAATTTAGCTGTAATTTTATCGCATAAAACTGTATGTTTAGATGTTGGACTATCTTCAATCTGCATTATCGTATCAAATGAGCTAATTATGAATGCTCAAGTATCATGTTCCTATACATTACAATTTCTGACGCGGAATTGCTATGTTCCTGGATGCAACAACTCCGTAGACCCATGAGCGGCTGCCGACGGCGAAGTTTTATTGTTCTCTCACCTCTTTTGGAAGTTGAAGGATTTTATTGCGTATGCAAAGATGAAGGCGAACAATACGCAGAAACCAACCACCATGATCCCGGCAACACCCACGAAATCATGTCTGTACCCGAAAACATCGTTGAGGAATTGCCTTATTGGTACCCGAGTATAACCGTCCGCTAGCTTCAAAAGTTCATCATCATCGCCGTATTGTGAAACTAAGAGGCCATACAGACTCCAGGCTACTGGGTTTGCCCAATAATACCATCTCCACCAGATGGGAATTCTCTGCAGTATAATGTAAACTGGTTATCGCTAGCATAAAGACTAATGAATAAAAAAGAGTGATGCTTGTATTGGATTATGGTTTTCCTCCGTTTTATATGAGGATGAAAGAGAATAGATATAGTGAGTTTTATCCTCTGGATAGTTAAAACACAACAGAGTAATCAAGAAAGACTTGGAATAGTGGCCAACGAGTGACTTTAGACAACACTGACTAGAGCAACTTCAGGGAGAGCAGCAGGAAAACAGAATGGTGATAAATAACGGGTAGATTTGCGATAGCATGTCAAGAAATTCTTTGTGACAGCCCATTATTTACCTTGTGGGGTATCATGAAGCCACTGAAAAGGTTCCAAAGCATGTAAAAGGGAGCAGCAATAATTGCAGCCACGTTGTGATTAGGTGTCACAGCTGTCGTCATCATCCCGTAGAAAGTGAAGTACATCATGGTAAAATACATAAAGAACAAGTACCAGAGGAACTTCAAAAACGTCCACTGGAAAGTGGCCATGGAATAAAAGACGGTGCAGTAGATAAGCGACTGAGCAAAAACATAGGGGAATTCTATGACGACCTGCAGATATTAAATTTTCGAGCTTAGATAACGTACAAAGTATTCCTGCAAGTCAAAGCTCAACCAGAGGCCTATTGTTAGAAGATGCACCTGAGCGAATGCAAATGACAAAGCTGAGTACATCCCTGCAGCTCTTTCTCTGTATGAAACAAATCTTTCAATAGAAACAACAGGTTGAACAGCAGTGGCGTTGGTAATCCCAATAAACAGGACTGCTGCGTACATGGATCCCATGGCATTAAATAAGTCCTGCTGCGTCTCTCTGTGTCGGAAGAAAACCAGTTAATTTTCACCAACCTACTGAGGGATGCAAATATATCCAGGTGCCTGGATGGAAGCTTCCAAAGTGTCTCGGGAATAAAAAGAGGATATTTGCACTTTTTTTTTTTTCTACCATAACTACAATTCAACAGAAAATGTCACAAAGAATTACATAAAAAAGTTAAATGAACGCTAAAACATCATTCTTCTTTTGTTGTGTTCAATACTGAAAAGGACAAAGCAATAGGCCTCTGGTATTTGTACAGACAATAAGCAGAACTGGATAACAATTTCTCCAATGTACAAGCCCAACAGAGGGAAGTCCACTCCCTCCATCCAACTGGACCCCTTGTCAGGAAACAGATTAGTGTTAGGTCATGTCAAATAGCTCAGTGATTAGTGTTAAGTGTTGCTAAATTCTGATCTTGCAGAAGCACAGATGTAAAGTGTGGTTCATGGTTGCCAGGATCACTCCATGTTTAAGCCATCCAGCATTGTAGTAATAGGTCATAGGCCTATAGTGCTTGGTTTCTCTCCATTACTAGGAAATTAAAAGTATACAGGAAAGAAGGAATGGGATTTTTGTTGATATTACACGTAGTATTCAAAATTGATATGGCAGAAATGCTTCTTCCTAAAAGTAAGCATCACAAATTCTTGCAATTTTAAGAGTATCTTTACTTTAGAAGTGCTTTAAGCCACTCAAGGAAGTGGTGAGAAGGGTTGTATGTTACCAATCAGCTACAGCACTCTTTGGCAAATCTGCAGATGTGCTTCGTTATCATCATTTTTATGGAGGCTCAAAGTAGAGAGAAGCTTGCTAGACAAAATCCTTCTTGCACATGCAAAACACAAATCTTCCACATTGTTTCATGGCCTCATGAGATATCAAGGTAATCAATCGTGAGGCCAACATATATAATAGATTGTGCCTAGCTCTATTGATTCCTTTTTTTTGCTATCTTTTTATTAGAAACTGGCTCTTGTTGATTCGATCTCCTAGAATCTGATGAAAGACTACCTGTTTCTACTAGTAAGCTTGATAACCAGGCTAAAAAAAGTAGCCAAAACAAAGGCAACAATTAGAAATAAGTAACTGTAATTATGGACGAGGTAACACCATCAACCAAGTACCTTTTTGCACCAAATCTCCAACATATG